AGAAGGAAATAAATACGTGTTAGGCGGGATCTCTGGGTCCAAAAGACGAAGATAGTGAACGCGTTTCCAACGATGATAATTATTCCTTGTACTGTGTAGATGACCATCAGGGTAATGTACGTTGAAGTAGGCATCTCCCTGCTCGTTCTCTTGCCAATTTATCCCAGCAGACGCAAAACAGTTCTCGCAAGCACAGTTGAAAAGATGATGATAAACGCAGGATATAAATGGCCTTCGTCGAACTATTATTTCTATGTAGACGTAGACTAATAAGGAAAATAATGGGAATACAGGTGCCACTGATCTTTAGTTCAATAAGCTTCAAATAGCTGCGTTTTGTGTAAGGGATATTCGATTAATCTGAGATGTCGCGCCTGAATCAATAGGCCATTACCGAGTTTCCCCGGGCCTCTGTATCAAAACGAAGTTAAGTGCTCAGCCTTTGGCATGATATGAAAATGATTTTTCATTCTCATGCAAATAAAACTCATTTCGACAAGAAAGGTTGTGCACTTGGCCTCATTTTGAAAGTAAGGGTTTTTGGAACTCGGAAGTAGCTAATTAAAATTTAAAGGAATTAAAGGGGATAACGTCCTTTCACATATGCCCTAAGGGTTTTGAAAAATTTAAATTCTTAACAGCAGGTGTACGTAAACACGATTATTTGCGTCTTATGCGATAATAACATACTACTGCTATGAATGATTAGGGCATGAAGTCGGTGTCCGTGAAAAACAAAATAACCTTGCCCTCTGTGTTTTAAGACTTTTAGCCTGCGAAAACATCCGTTTCTTCTCGCTCTTCGCTAGAAACGGGTGTTTTCGCAGGCTAAGATTTCTTTGGCAAATCAAAATTTAATTTCGTCAACGCAAAGATTGAATTATATTAGTGCATGCGCCAGGACCCAAAAATGAGAGAGTAGGTACCATTTGGAAGGAAAAAGGCTTATATCCCTGGATCATTGATTCCTTGTCTAAAGTTTATATTAAAGTGAAATAGCAAGGTGATTCACAGCCTTTTAAGGGATGAGGGGTGATGATACCTTTATTAAAGTGTCAAAACTGTAATAGCGGTGTATAACCACTAAGTGGGGACACTAAAATAAATTAAAAAAGAATAAATCAATTAATAAATTAATTAAAATTAAGAAAAACTTTGTACAGTATAAGCAAGTGAGAAATTCGAGAGAACTATATACAATATGTACAAAAGTATCCATTACCTTATAAAAAATAAGAAATAAAAGATTAAGAAGTGCAAAGAGAGCAGTTAGAGCAGTTATTGTCATCTAATAGCATGCTAAGATCCACTTTTCTGATGTTATATTTGAAGGAGGACAACGTGGAAGCTTTTTTCACGTTACTAGGAACAGAACTCCATACATTTGGGCCCATATACCTGAGCGAGTGCTTTCCAAAGGAGACTGTGTTGAATAACGACCTGTTCAATCCCCTTTTATGCTTGATCTTAAACGATTTCTAGTAATAGGAGATCACGAAAAAAAAATCAAAAAACCTTTGAGAAAATGCCAGAGGAAAGCGTCCGTGGATAAAGTCCTCCCATTGTAGATTGTGATGATTCTTGGAAATCACAAATTGAACGATCACGTGTTTAGTCAGATGACAAGCAAAGACACAATCTCCTTTCATTTCTGCCCGGTTGAGTTTCTCACTATGATAACGTTTACTTTCTGGCTGCAGGAAGACTAAAACAAAGGCGGATGTTTCAACCTAAGGTGGTTTTTCTGGCATGCTTCTCTAGTATTTTCTTTTCATTTAGTCTCTTGAGCAATCAGATTTTCTTAGCTTAATTCAAAGGCATTATTGACCGAGTCAAGTCAACACAGCTTTTAATATTTGATCAATTATAATATACATTCAGGGTTAATACTCTACTTTAGGCAGGTAAAATCTTTCGAATCGAAAGTGTTTTTGAATCCTATGAAGAGAATTTATTTATTGACCGAGTCAAGTCAACACAGCTTTTAATATTTGATCAATTATAATATACATTCAGGGTTAATACTCTACTTTAGGCAGGTAAAATCTTTCGAATCGAAAGTGTTTTTGAATCCTATGAACAGAATTTTTCCGGATTCCACATTTCACAAGCAAACGTTTCCCGGATTCCAGATTCTCTTAAACGGGGCGACCTGTTCTTATAAATGCAAAACAGCCCTCACACAGTTGAAAGTTATTTTGAAGTTATCGTAAAGAATTGCGGGTTTGTTATATTATTTCTCGGTGGAAAATACCTTTTCTTTAGGCCAGTATATCTACGTTCATACACTCCCGTAGCCCCCTCGAAAACCGTACCCGATTCCAGACCAAACGTCAGGGTAAATACAAATATTCCTTTCTATCCAATTTTCCTAATGTGATCTGCCTAATATTGCACTTGTCATTTGTTATCAGTAAGGCATGTTACAGCCCCGAAAATAAATTCTCCTTTAGCAAGAACTGCTCTTTGAAACCTGGAGGCTTGGTCACTTCCTAAGAAGCGCCGCTGCTCTCAGTTGCTACAATGGCGCGAGGGAGTAACCGTGGGATGGAATGCAGTGCATTATCTCTAAAGGTGGATTTCCACTGTCGCGTAATTATTTAAAAGTGCATGCGCACATAAATTGTACGCGCACAAACGAGTAAACGTGAAAGTTGAGCTACCTATAAGGCACAACTTCCGATCAAAACTTGGCAGTGAGTACTTGCTTTCAGGGTATTTGAGTACTGTTCATGAATTTTGATAAAATTGAACGGCAATACGCAGTAAAAGCATTTTTTCACGAGAACACTTCGGTCGAGTTTGGAAGCTTCTGGATAAATTTTGTAGGGCATAACGCCAGTTGCTTTAGCGGCTTTGGTGGTCGGCGGAAAGCTAGACCGCGGGTAAGGCCTTGGATGTCAAATGTAAAAAAAAAACCTCAAAAGTTAGTCGTCCGTTGAACGAGTTTTTGTTATATTATTATACTCTTTTGAACGATGTTATCTATGGTTGTCTCGGACGACCTGACGACCGCTTATATGGATCCGCCTAGTGACAAAGCATGGGACAATAACCCCTGACAGATAGCCTGAAAAGGAAAAACCTGGCAATACAAGTACGCTTGCCGCATCGGTCTATGTTTTCTCTAAACAGAACTTCGTACATGGCTACAGCCACACAGGTTATCCTACAGGGCCCAGTTGTTCGAAGGCCGGTTAGCGCTTAACCCGGGGTTAAATTTAACCCTGGTTTCTTTTCTTGTGTTCAAAAGCATTTTCTCGGATAATTTTCTCTCTTATTCTTAGAGCTTCCAATCATGAACTTGTGGACAAAAAGAATTAAAACTGAAATGCTTTTTAAGCTTTCAAATCTTAGTTCAAATCTCGCACTAACCCTGGGTAATCTTAACCCAGCTTTGAACAACTAGGCCCAGAAACACACACACAAATAGACATTATGGAAATATCAAGGAGAGTACTTAAATCAGTTTTATTGGACCGTCAAACGTTTGGATTTTTTTTTTACCCCGAGTGAAAAGCACAATAAACAGCGACACACAGAGACACTGCTTCTGCTCAGTGACCCTGGTTTCAATTCGCCACTGATAGAAACGAGAAGGCAACTGGCGCCAAAATGCGCCCCGCAATTGTTTCTGGGATAGTTGCGCCGGTCAGCTATTGGCCTTTTTTCCCTTTCCCTTGTAACCATCCCAGAAGTCTTTGCGAAAGTCAACTCGGCCCAGTTTCCTTCTGGTTTCTAAAGTGGCGAATGGCTACATGTACGCATTTCATTTAACTACCTGGCTGTTTCAAATAAAAGCATAAAAACAGTCTTTAGGCAATGTGTCATGTGTATACAAAAGCTAA